ATACCCTGCCCCTGTGGTCACCTCCACATGGCTCCCTAATCCCAGCAATTCAGAGACTCAGGACACTGACCTTAGTTGCTTGGGTTGCTTGCTTATTTTTCTATCTTCCAATTTATCTCACAGAAAACTGCTTAGAAGTACAAATCTCTTGGTTCAAGGGAATAAGCACCTCGGTCTATACCTAGTTCTCCTAGCACCCAGTGGCTGTGAGCCTAGGTACTGGGCAAGTTTGGGAACAAAGAGGAAGCAGATCTGCAGCCCCCAGGCCGCAGTGCCTGAGGACAGGTGCAGCACTAAATGTGCCTCCTCCGATGAACTGGCCATGGAGATTTTTCTTAAGCCACCATGAACACTAGCCACTTCACTAGTAAAATCTGGCAACAAGGACTGACACCACGCATGCACATGAGCACACACACATATAGACACACCTGCACACACTAGAGCAGGTGAGGAGCCCAGGCCTCAGAATCTGGTTCGCAGAAGTCCAGTCCCAGTTGCTCTATCATCAGAAGGTCTTTGGGAAAATTATCATTTCTTAGACTCTACTTTCCTATCTGTAAAACAGAGATAATAGCTACCTTGGAGCGTACCTGGCAAAATAAGATGACTAAACGCCTGCTAAGCAGGAAGACCTTTATGGTGATGTCAGGATCAGTGGCTCTCACTGTGTAAAGGGTCTGCTCTATGTACTGCTCATGTCTAGGCACAGGTTTCTCAACCTCAGCAGGTTGGATATTTTGGGCTGGAAATTACTTGTCCTGTATATTGCAGGCTGTTTAGCAGCACCTTCAGCCTCTACCCATTCGATGCCAGTAGCCCCTCTCCCTAGTTGTGACAACCAAAAATATCTCCAGACATTGCCATGTGCCCTGGGGGTCAAAATCACCCCAGGTCTAGAGCTTCCTCACCTTGGGGGTCCAGAGCTTCACAGCATCCAGAACTGCTTTTCTGGAAACTCAGTCATTAATTCCTTGGTAATGCCGTATTGATAAGAGATTACTTTTTAATGGCCTTACAGAAAAGTTTTGTTACTTATAAATGGTACTCATATCCTGCTGCTGTAAGTATGAATTTCTAGGATTAAAATAAAAGCCTTTTTGCCATCAGGAGGACAGGAAGCAGTGAACAATACCGAATTAGCACCAGACACTATTTTTGAATTTAGAAATTACTAAATTAGTACTCGCTGCATTTGTGAGGCCTACATTCTGGCTGAAGCTTTTGAGTTTGGGCCACTTATAGACTCCTCTGGGGGTGCCCTGCAGATGGGTGGCCTGTTGACTCTACAGAGTTCAGAATATGCTCCTAGACAACCAACCCATGGTCCTCGGGCTTTACAGGTGACCGCATCAGATAGGAATGGCTATCATTTATTGAAAGCTTACCGTGTTCTAGGACCTCTGCTAAGACCTGTAAATATTTATCTTGTGTAAACCTTATAATAAAATGATCTCCGTTTTATAGACGAGGAAACAAATTCAGAAAAGCAGATTAACTGGCTTAAGAAACAGTTGTAGTCTGTTTCTGGAACTGATCGCTAGGCCATTCTACTCCACCATCACGCTTTCATCCTCTGCTCCGCTGCCCCCTGGGTCCCCAGCACTGGAAGTCTGGCTGTGTGTACACTCTTCTACATGGCCAGTGCCTTTTGTGATACTTGGCATTAACTAAATACATGCTGTGGAAGGAAAGAGAGGATAAAAAGAAAGAAGTTTCCACTCTAACCCCAGAATTGGATTGGTGATAACCGGATTAATCTTTGAGCCCTCTCAGTTATCAGGGAATAAATAATAATAATAATAATAATAATAATAATATTCACACTTCCAATTAGATAACTTCAGAAATTTTTGAAAAGTGTTCAAGTAATATTTATATCATTTAATTGTCAAACTAGCTCTGTGAGCCAAGTAGGATAGATATCATAGGTAAGTTTATTTGCCAGAGAATGGCTAGAACTAAAGCTTCCATCTCTGAACTAAACTGTAAAATGAGAAGGAAGAACTACAGAGATGGGCACATTATCAGTCAACAGGAAGAATGAAGATACTTTCTCAAAATCCTCTACCATGTCACAAAGGTGCCAAAGGAACAGAGGAAGGGGAAGTAATTTTCTCTTTCATTTGCCATGCAAAGCGCTTAAAGAGTAGCCACCAGACTGCAGCTATAGGAAAATGTTGCAACTTGATTGCTGTCCATGCTCACTTCTGCTTCTTCTAGCTTTCTCTTTCTGGCTTTCTTTTCCTAGTAGAAAATCTAAAATAAGATCCTTTGATTTCACTTCCTTTATTCATCTTCCTCTGCCCTTTAAAAATAAATCACACACACACAAATGGAAAATAATGTCTCGACGGCATTATAAAGTATACTTTTTATATGAAACATTGAGTTCTTTCTACATCACTTGATTTTATTTCCACATAGGTCCACAGAGGACTTTGTTTGAGAAAGCAGTACTAAAACTGTCAACACTGATAGGAATCTGTACCATCTTTATTTACCTTTAATTTATTGTAATCGTGGCCTAACTTGAATCAACAATTAAGTTATTTATCTACATTCAATAGAGAGCATTTAGCAATTGCTTTCTAAAATACTCTATTTTTGAGGTTTTCTTGCACAGGCTTTCTTAATACTGACAGTGGTCTAGACATGTCAGTCTCTTAAACATTTAAATATTGTAAATCTGGTTAACTTGCCCTGGAATTCATTTTTGTTTTTCCCTTTTCAATGAAGTAAGAAATTCTGTGTTTTTTAAAACCCAAGTAACTTTTCACAGATTTCTGATGTATTTGGGCCAAAAAAACCCACACATTTGGGCCAAATGACACAAGCTAAATGACTAATGAATTATGTTTCTATGGGGGAAAAATGTTTAAGTTAGGCACCAGAAAGCTCAATAAAAATTTAAGATGGAGCCCTGGCCAGTTTAGCTCTGTGGATAGAGCATCAGCCTGTGGACTGGAAGGTCCCAGATTTGATTCCAGTCAAGGGCATATGCCTGAGTTGTGGGCCCCCAGTAGGGGGCGTGCAGGAGGCAGCCGATCAATGGTTCTTTCTCATCATTGATGTTTTTCTCATTCCCCTCCCTTCCTCTCTGAAATCAATAAAAATAAAAATAAACATTTTTTAAAAAAATTTAAGATGGAGCCAAGGGGTTCTACATGGAATATGCTTACATTAAGCAACAAATGCTCTTTTGAGGATCTGATTAAAATGACAGTAATAGTGATTATGATGCTACTTATATGGAGTTGATCCCTCAATGGGATGAAGAAGCTCCTGCACCCAGTACATTTCCCTTGCATCCTGCTTCCTGCAGCAAAGAGAGGCTTGTGGTGCTCTGAGTGCCTTTTGTGTAGGAGTGGGGGCGGGGTGACGGTGGGGGGCCAGCGAAGCGTGGAGAAGTAGTTCTTCCTCTGCAGACTCATTCAGTCTCCGCACAGAGGCTTGCCAGCCGCTCTCAGTGTAGAAGACCTGCTGGATGTATGCTTGGCATTTTTAGTTCTAAGGATAAAAGTATCTCTGATTTCCTTCTGCCTCCTCTCAAAACTCTTAACTTATATTCACCATAACACCCATAAATATTAATTAATTATTCCCAGTCTCTCCTGGGCTTATTACTTTGTCAGTATGCCCCCTGACAGTACTGGCAGGTTAAGAATTATTGTCAAAGCCACGGTTCCTTTATTTATGGTCACCAAGTTAAAATTGCTAACTGGAAGAGATTATAGACTGTATCTTATTATACATGATAATTACAAGGCGTCAAAGAAAGCTTACAATGTAGGGAGAATGCTATGGAGAGATGCAGAAAGTGTGTTCAAATATTCAATATATTTCTTTCAATCATAGTTATCTTTCAGCAGAAGAAAAGATGAGTTTTTAAAGATGGTATCTTAAGAAAAATGGAATTTGTTGTGAGAGTTTTAAGGCCAATTTCCATTTTCCCCATTGGAAATGTATGTAATAATAATTTTTAATTTTAAATTTCATTTAAACATTGAGGTTTGTTCTAAAAATTGGGCACAGTTTTCAAATCTCGAAAATACAACGCAAAGATGATATAACATTTCAATTTCATTTTATGCAGCAATTAGCCAAGGATATTTTTAGAGCACCTAATATATGCCAAAGGATACTAAGATAAGCATAGTCCTTATCCTTGAGCAAATAGTATAGCAGCACATTTCAGAGCCATTTGTACAGCCCCAAACTGAGTTTTAAATTCAATGTGTTTTATTTAAACTCTTTCCGCAACTGCTAAAATGAGCCCACGGAGAGAAAGCATCACAGCACCGCTGGAATCATACCGCCTTAAACAAGGGCTGCCAGGATTAAATAGCAACAAAACCACTAACCCAACTTTCTCCTTTAAAAGAAGTCGAAGTGAAAACATCAACCACCGCATCCTATAAAAATGGAGAGTAAAACCTGAAGCAGGTTTACTGCTGTCAGCCCGGGATCCAGGAGCCCTGTGTGCACAGGAGGAATCTCCCTGTCCGGCTGACCCAGCAGGCATCCGCACCAGTTTGGTGTGTGCGCGCACATTTGTCTACAACTCTACATGGACGTCTGAGAACACTGGTGAAGCAGATAGATACACATCAGCCCTGCAGCTGGGAACAAATGTGTTGTTCCAGTAAGAAACTCAGCTAAGATTCCTATTGTTTTGGAGCCCCTCCTCACTGCAGTTTCGCAAACGGTACTGAATAGTCCCTGAGAAAATAACTAGACATCAATTTAATTGTAACTGTAGGGAGCTAAAGAACATTCAAAGAGAGACTGCGGAGCTCAAGGCTGGGTCCCAGGTGACACTCAGATCACTTCTATTGTGAGGTGGACCCAGTACTGCCTCCCAACATTTTAATTTTTTTCTATTTAAAGCAACAGTAACCACCACATGAAAGACAAAGGCTAAAGCACAACATCAAAGACAGTTTGAAGATTGACATGAGCAGTGAAGGAATAAATGACAAAGCTGAGCCACCTGTTACCTTTTTAAAGACGACCTGGGAGTGGAAGCTGCTGGGGACTTGCTGGGCTGATTGCGGTCTGTCGTCTGTGCTGGGGAAGGAAGGGTTGTGTCACTTGGCCGCGCTGATCTCTGGAAGTGGAGGTGCTCTGAGTACCTACATGTGTAAGGAAGTGTCAGGCTCCCTCCTCTGTGAGTCACCCTTGTTGTGACACTTGATGATGACTAAGCCTTCTATGGATGAAGTAAAGCCATGAAGCTGTGGGTCATGTATTTCCAAAAGACAGTATTTTTAGCAAATTAAATTTAGCAACTTTCAGAAGGGACTTAAAAATGACCCATAACTTTCCTTTAACTGTGAGGACAATTTTTTGGCCAAATTAGGGAGCTGAAATACTATATCACTGAAGCATTTTGTAAAATGCCTGGCACCAGGTTTGAGTTGTGATTATTGTTCATGATCTCTAGGTTGTTTGTTGTCTTCCTTCCTTCCTTCCTTCCTTCCTTTCTCTCTCTCTCTCTCTCTCTCTCTCTCTCTCTCTCTCTCTTTCTTTTTCTTTCTTTCTGTTACTGTGCCTTTACTGATTTAGTACTCTTTCAGTCCTAGGAGAGTTGTTAGGGGAAATGAGTCTCTGATTATTTATTTATTTACTAGAGGCCTGGTGCATGAATTCATGCACGGGTGGGGTCCCTGGGCCTGGCCAGCAATTGGGGCCAATTGGGGCCATCTTGCCCAGTCCAGATTGGGACCCACCGACTAGGGGGAGGGACCAGTGGAGGTTGGCTGTGGGAGCGCACTGGCCACCAGGGGGCAGCTCCTGTGTTGAGCGTCTGCCCCCTGGTGGTCAGTGCATGTCACAGTGACCAGTCATTCTGCTGTTGGGTAGATTTGCATATTAGGCTTTGATTATATAGGATTTATTACCACTTTTATTAAAACTATTGGTGAGCAAGGAGACCAAAACAATTTAATGAAACAAGGCTTTGGATTTATTTTGAGTCTTACTTTAACGAGTGTTTTAAAGTATGACAAAAATATCTTTCTGAAGTGGTCACGGGAACTGAGATCACTGAGGATAGGAAAGGACGCCCCGTCCCTCCCCAGAGTTGATCTGTTTCAGAGTGTATTATAATTGACCAGGCATATCCTGAAAAGTATTGAGGTTACAGATGATGAGGGGGAAGTCATGCTGCTAATATGTGCCACCCCTCCAGGCTTGCACCTCGCCCTTAGGCACGCAGGCTGATGGGTGGGTATACACTCCACTGAAGCTGTTTAGTTTCAGTTTCCTAATATACCAGTTTATGGTTATACATCTCAGATTCCCCAGGCTTCTTTTGTGTTCCTTCTTTTAAAAATGCAGTTTATTAAGATTTAGTTGGGGTGAGCGGAAGAATAAATATATCTGTCTATCTAGGTTAAGTCTAGACATTGCTATTATCCTATAAATTAAGTGGGGGATCTTTTTTTTTCCTCTCTCCAAAAGAACTTCATTTCCTCGGGTAAAGATTAGGGTACCAAACATGTGCCAAATATACATTTCCCTTTTAACATCCCATAAGTCAGAGTAAGACTTAAAGAGAAAACCTTTTAGAGAAATAATACATTGACTTAAATCCACTCGAGGAAAGATATAAATGATTAATATTGGACCCTTCTTGTGAGCAAGTTATTGTCACTGAGAGGTGGAGAGAGTTGCAGGCATCTGGGTAGCCATGAAGTAGAGAAGGGCAAAGGACAAAGAAAAGGCTATTTAAGTTTTGCTGATTCAATACTCTAGTCTAGTGTAGGTCGGTTTTAAAAACATCCCAATATGGACGAAAAAGGGACCACATACTAAACATGACAGAGGTTTCTTTTACCTTGGGGGTTACAGGGTAATATTAATAATTATCATTTACAGCATATACTAGTAGAGTTGTTATTCTGGGAACAAAATAACAATGAGGATTCCTGGGATCTGGTGCTAGGGTAGAGAGGTTGTGCCCTGAGGGGGTCTAGAAAAGATTACTCTGATATTTCAAAGGTATGTTATCTTGGATCAGGGGTGGGGAACCTTTTTTCTGCCAAGGACCATTTGGATATTTATGACATCATTTGAAGGCCATACAAAATGATAAACTTAAAAATTAGCCACTTAAAAATAAATCCTATATAATAAACAGGAGAGGCCAGCATGGTGGGCCTTACAAACTCAGAGACTGAAGTACCCACATAGGGTGGTCTGAACATAAACATTCCTAACTAAAAGCAGGTCCTGGTGTGTAGTCACGTCCCAGGCCTGTTGCTTCCTTAACAAAGGTCAATCTTTATCTTGAGTGAGCCTGCCTATTGTCCTTTTGCATCTAAGATAGGGATAGGGAACTTCCGGCCTGCTGGCCCTATGAGGCCAGAGAAATCACTAATGTCTGGCCCTGCCAAGGTATTAGGGGTGAGTTAATTAAATGTTGGACCAAATACAGCAGGCTAATTTTTAAGTTGATAATTTTGTATGGCCTTCAAATGATGTCATAAATATCCAAATGGTCCTTGGCAGAAAAAAGGTTCCCCACCCCTGATCCAAGATAACATACCTTTGAAATATGTAAATGATGATTATTAATATTACCCTGTAACCCCCAAGGTAAAAGAAACCTGTGTCACGCTAGCCAGCCGGTTTGACTCATTGGATAGAGTATCCTCTCCCCCCACCTTAGACTGAAGGGTTTCGGGTTCGATTCTGGTCAAGGGCATGTACCTCCGTTGCAGACTCAATCCCTGCTTCAGTCAGGCAGGTGTAGGAGGCAACCAATTGATGTCTCTCTCTCACATCAATGTTTCTCTCTCTGTCTCCCCCTCCCTTCCACTCTCTCTAAAAATCAATGGAAAAAGAAACTCGGGTAAGGATTAACAACAACAACAAAAAAGAACGTTATATCTCTCCATCTTATTTTTTATCCAATCCCAGAGATATCCCCTGGTTTGATCTCTCCTGCCCCCTTAATCTACCACCAATGGCTTTCATGCAACCCTTCTTTGATTCTAACATAAAATAAGCTGCAAAACTGCCATTTTCTCAATCTGTTGAGATTTTGCCTCCTGGCATTTGTTGTCAGTTTGGCTCAAAAACACTCATAAAAATTCTGTACAGGTTTAGAAATTTCTTACGTCAATACCAAATAGACTTTTTTTTTTTTTTTTTTAAAAAAAAGATGTTTTGACTGATTTGTGTATTGAAAACTAGATCTAGAGCTCTTGCTGTGTCTAAATCCCTCAATTCCAGTGGACCCAGGTTTTTAAGAGTTCAGTTTTAGTAGCCCTGGCACCAGGGTTGGAACATTTGCTTCTCTGGTCAAATGATCCTATTTAGCTGTTCAGTTAATGGAATCATTTGCCAGCAGCACTTTATCCGGCCTGTAACTATATCTGCCTTCAAATTCACCTCTTAAGTGCTAATTTTTCCTTCATTCCATTCTGTAATAAGACAACCTATGAAAGTACTATTTTGTTCAGATCTCACTCTACATTAGACTTCTGGTCATCCAAGGTGATGTAAAAAATCCAGACCTGAATTGCCATAGTATTTTTTTTCCTAATTCCTTTTTAAAACAGAAGATTGCACAGTGGATTTCATTTAAATGTAAATGTAAATGTTGACAAACGGTAATTATAGAGGGGTAAGGCTAGATACTGCAAAACACTAACATGACTCTCCTTTTCCTTCTAAATTCATAGGCCCCCATGTTTCCTTCCAAAGGTGCCTTCTCCACCCTTTTCAGGCACCACAATACAAGGAGAATATTTAGATTCCTGGCTGTCTCAGATGACATGCATTGGGCTTCTCAGATGACATACATTTGGTAACTGCACAGGGCTGAACATGGAGCAAAGCACAGATAATCCTGAAATGGGAGTCGAATGGAGAAAAGCACTTCCAGCAGGAGTGGGGCTGGTGCTACTCTTGTAAGGATGGGGGGCGGGGGGCAAGGCTGTCATGGAGTGTGCATGTTGACCTCCCCCTTCCTGGCATAATAATAGAATCCTCTCTCCAAGGTCACCCTCAGTGGAGTGCATTTCTCTGAATAACTATGAATTGGTACTAGGACTGTATATTTTTATTAAATTTTTTGTTGTATTTTTAAAATGTTTAAATTACAGTTTTCATTCTATATCATTTTGTATTAGTTTCAGTTGTACAGCATAATGGTTAGCCATTCATATACTTTACAAACATTTTCAATACCCAACAGGCACCACACGTAGTTATTACAATATTAACGACTGCGTTTCCTCTGCTGTACTTTATATCCTCATGACTATTTTGTCACTTCCAATCTGTACTTCTCAATCCCTTCACCTTTTCATCCAGTTCCCCAAACCCTTTCCCCTCTGGCAATCATCACTTGGTTCTCTGTATCTGAGTCTGTTTCTATTTTGTTTTGTTTATACTGTTCTTTAGGTTCCACCTATAAATGCAATCATGTGGCATTTGACTTTATAGTTTTAAAAGAGCATTTTGTAATTTCTATCTCCTCCCTTTATCAACAGAACAGCTCTTTCATTTCCACTATAGAAGTCTCCCTCGCTACACCAACAATACCTTTGACATTGGAGCAGAGCAGGTCAATTGTAAATGATGCCCATGAATGCATAGCTAGGCTTGGTCAAAACTAGGAGCTTTGTTACTCATTTGTCATTTCCTGACTCTCCCAACTGTAAAATGAAGCTGGGCTAATCTTTTGTTCCTCTACACTGTAAGATTCTTGGAAATACTATTAGGGACTGAGTCATGAGAACTTTTGGTAGATTCTTTGAAGAAAGATTTTTCTTATTTGCAGAACACACAACCTTTTAGCTTACTCAAACAAGAGATCTTAGTTTAAAAGGTAGGGTGAGGAGTATTATATTGGAGAGCATTGTCCTGAAAAGGAGCAAGAGAGGTGGGTGAGAAGGAAGGTAAAGGACCAGAAACACTAGGGATGCCTGGAAACAGGGAGACTTGCAAGAAATAAGATGGGAGCCTTAATAAGGAACATGTGACTCTCAAGAGGAGAGTGTTAGGATCCCTGAAGAAGGAACATAAGAGGCCCAAAGAAGTAAAGAATTACAAATTTATTAGGTCATCTGGGGACCAGATGGGCTGAGTCCCCAAATGGCACCAGCACCCAGGTGTGGGGAGTCAGAGGTGTTAAAGGACTCTAGACAGCTTTTTCAGTGGACAACTCTCTGGGTGGGTCCT